CAGGCTGTGGATGGGGTCCGGCTGATCAGGACTGAGCAAGATGGGCCGGACATGCCCTGGAGCCCTCCCACGATCCTTCCCCGGCTGGCCAACCTTCCTGGCTCCAGTCGTGCACCGATGGGGTCCCTCAGCCTGGCCTGCACCTGCTCGCAATCTGGGAACCCTAAGGGGATGTCAGACAGCCTGCAAAGATGGGACAGCCTGCGAAGATGGGACCAAAATCCGCAGACCAACATCCCCCAAGGGATGTAGTAGTGTACGAAGTGGCAGGCGGCTGGGGGGGGGCCCAGGCCCAGGCCAGCACTGCGCTGCTCCCGCTCATCCTGGCCCCACTGCGCCTGCTACCGCTGCTGCTTGGTAGCTTGGTAGCACTGCTGCAGAGTCGGGAAAGGCTCATGCCACTGCAGCTGAGCTTGCCAGCCATGAGCCTGGCCTCTGGCGCCTGTTGGTCAGCTGAACAGTGCTCCTGCTATGGGAGCGCAGTGACCACCAGGGGGCAGCTCATGCATGGAGCGTCTGCCCCCTGGTGGTCAGTGCGCATCATAGCGACTGGTTGTTCGGTCGCTTAGGCTTTTATATCCTGTATAATAAAAGCCTAATACGCAACTGTTTTCAGTTGCTTCCTATAAACTTCCAGATTAAGCTTTTCTGACCAGTTGGAGATGTGCTCTATTTAAAGATATTCAGTGTTGCTTAGTGGCATCTAGATTAATGTGAGTGATTTTCAGAATGGCCAATTTCAATTTTCCTTAAGTTCCTCATATGTTTTATTCAATTACTATAATCCAGGCAATTCAAAAGAGAAGCTGATCAACTTGAGCTTTGTAAACAAAAAAACGGCAGCAAAATCAATGCCCCTTTCCTATCTGTGGACTGAATGCAGAATATTCAAATTTATGGGCATGCTTCATTTTGGGGTGAAAATGGTTTATATCTGTGTAACTATGATTTTTTATTTAACCTCTAATGATTTTGAGAGTGAAAGAAGTTATAAGGATAATAGGTATAAGTCATGACTGCCCTGGGCAAACAGGGTATGTGGCACCCACTTGGAGTAAGAATCAACTCTGAGGGTCGCCATCTCTTCTATACCAGGAGAAGTTAGTGTAGTCTGTCATCTGAATAGAAAGAATATGACGCCATTTATGGCAATCATCATATGCCACCAGGCGTCACTCTTCGTTATTCTCCTCTGCTACTTTGGGGATGGAAGGAGTTTATTTTGATTGTGACCAGTAAATATAAAATGATATAAAATTACTTTTCCACTTTAAGAATTGACTCCTTCCCATTGGTTGTTTTCATCTTGCATTTACATTTATTTTATACAACCAAATAGTTTGTGTGTTTGTGTGTGTGTGTGTGTGTGTGTGTGTAATTTTGATGTGCTAATAACCTTTCCAACCTGCATAGAATGGAGTCCCTGGAGGCCTAGCAATTAAATTAGGCCCATATGGTTGTATAAGATCATCTCCACAGTGAACTATAAATAAAATGTGAACATGTAGTGGGTATCCAGCCACATTTCACACTGTGAAGTACTTGCTTGACACTCTTTACCACCGGGTTTTCTTCCCTCCATCTCATGTCTCTATGCCTAACCCTAGTTTTTTTCATACATGGAGGTCAGTGGATGATAAATTTGAAAGAGGAGAGCTAGAAGGGTGAAGATATGCTATGATTTTGGAGATGGGAGTGGGGGAGTATGTGGAAGCACTTGTCTGCACACCTCCATTCGCACCTGTTTTACCCATAAAAGACTAACCCTGGTTATCTGAATGCTCTTCCCCCTTTCATCTGATCTTCATAAATATGTGGACTCATGCAGTGGTTTAAATGCATTTGCTTTCATATAAACCCATTATTAAAGCCAGTTTTATCTGACGATATTTTATATTGTATTAGTAACAAACATATATTTTAAAATAGGGTTAAGACTGAAAAATGACACTGAATAGTAAGAAGTTATTGGGAGATAAGAATATAATTTTTTTAAAATATATTTTTCTTGATTTCAGAGAGGAAGGAAGAGGGAGAGATAGAAACATCCATGATGAGAGAGAATCACGGATCGGCTGCCTCCTGCAAGTTCCCCACTGGGGATTGAGCCTATGACCCGGGCATGTGCCTTTTACGGGAATCGAACCTGGGATCCTTCAGTTCCCAGGCTGACGCTCCATCCACTGAGCCAAACCGGCCAGGGCGATAAGAATATAATTTTAGTAGAAAGACATAAAGGAATGAAAACATTGACCATGATGAAGGAGGAATGAACCTGTACTATATATAACAAAATTTTAATTTTATTACTTAATCTTATCTTTTAAAATAGTAAAGGGTGTTAAATCAAACATGATAGCATAGATTAGTAGTTTAAACTAGAGGCTCTGGACCAGTGGTTCTCAACCTGTGGGTCGCGACCCCTTTGGAGGTCGAACGACCCCTTCACAGGGGTTGCCTAAGACTGTCCTGCATATCAGATATTTACATTACGATTCATAACAGTAGCAACATTACATTTATGAAGTAGCAACGAAAATAATTTTATGGTTGGGCCACAACATGAGGAACTGTATTTAAAGGGCCAGAAGGTTGAGAACTACTGCTCAGGACTCATACTGCTGGGTTTAATCTGCCTCTCTCATTAAACCTCTAACTTTAGTTTCCTCATTAGTAAAATGGGGCTAACTAATCACAGTTCTTCCTTAATAAAATCATTGTAAGAATTAAATTAGAAATATATCCCTTCCCTCTCTCCCCTCCCCAGGGCTGCACCCCACTTTTGTCTGTGTGCAACATTCACTGGTTGATCTCTTCCCTCCCTCCCCCCTCCTTCTGAGGCTCCTCAGTCTGTTGCATGCTTCCACGCCTCTGGATCTATTTTACTCATCAGTTTATTTTGTTCATTAGATGCCACATGAGTGACAGCTAGATAAACTTTAAAAATATGTATTAAAATATATAAAGTGCTTAGTAAAATACTTCATAAGTGTTAGCTATTACTTTAAGGCAGCCACATTAAATTTGTTATTACATTTGCAATATTATTTTAATTCTTTATAAACCTCAATTTAAAGAACGTATGATGATAGAAAACAAACAAACAAAAAAACGCCAACCCAACTCTTCTCCTGAGTTAAAAGGGGGAATTATTTTAATAGCTCCCGACTCCCTTTTCTTTTCGGTTGCCAGGAAGCTAAGAGCCAAGTTCTAAATTTAACAAAAGCAAGCAGGCACCGACTGTCTTACATCTGAGTTCTCCTTTGTCAAGATCTTCATTCTCATTTCATATTTGTTTTCTATAATCTGATTTCTTACATCTATAGCGTAGAGAGCTGTGCTCTTTCACTAGTGTACAAGGGAGCTGGGAGAGTGGTTAGAGTCCGATTCCCTTTCAAATCTAACCCGCGGGTAACAGCGGTGCTCGCCCCTGGCCCCGCCCCCAGTGCCCTCGT